GGGGGGGGGAGCCACAGGGGAGCAGGTGGCTCCTGGCTCCACTGTGCCTTGTGCCCAGCACCCAGGCCGGGCCAGGGTTTCCCTTCTGGGGCTGCTTAGGAGGAAACTGCCCAGTGAGACCCTGCTGACCGGCGCAGGTTGGAGCCCCAGAGCAGACTCATCTGTCCCGCCTGTCTTTGGGGAGATGAGCTGGCCTCAGGCCTACTGAGGGGGGGGGTCCTCCAGGAGGAAGCTCACGCCTATCTGGGCACCAGGCAGGTGAGGGCAGCCAGCCTCAGCCCGAGCATCAACAGAGGCGGTGGACAGCCGATGTGTGGGGAAGGGGCCTGAGCCGCCCAACCCAGCCCAGCCATTAGCTGGGAGCCGAAGAGGCTGATGCACAGACACAGGCCTCAGGACGGCCAAGGGAACGCTGCCGGCCAGCCCCAGGGAGAAGCCAGGCTTGGGCTATGGGGAGTGGGCTCCGTTCCACCAGGTCACTGAGACCCTAGCCAAGCCACTAGGCTGTCTGAGGACCAGGATGGGGCCTGTATCTGTCCCTCACATCTCACCCCCGAGGCAAGTGCCCCAGGAGAACCGGGACAGCAGGGGTGTCTGAGTTCCTGCCATCACAGCAGAGGCAGGGTCGTGGGACAGCGAGTGGGGTGCCCTACTGCCCCCTTCGCCCCTCCACACTAGGTTTGATTTGGTACCATGTGGGGTGTGATGTACCACAGCCCCGGTGACCTTAGTGCCCACTATGCAGCACCCAGCCTCATCCACCTGCCTGAATGGCCGAGACAAGGGAGGTGGGTGTCCCCTGCCCCTCCTCCCACCTGTCACTCACAGTAGGCCCAGGCCTTCCCCCTCCCAGGGGCCACCTGTGCCCATAAGCTCCTTGGGGCCCGGACCTGCCAGGGCCAGCAAACTGGAGCCTCTGGGTGAAGCCTTGGGCAGGCCTGGTCGGGACTTCCATGAGCCCCTTGCTTTTCCAGGCTAACCGGCCCCCCACCCTTTCCTTCCAGGAACAAACTTCGGAAACCTCTGTTTGGTCAAGCAGTCAGTGGCCTCGCGGTGCCTCTGCTGTTGTGCTCACAAACCCCCAGGATGTGCCAGCAGGAGTGCAGGTCTGCAGGGAGAACCACACGCCTTTCCCGCGTAGACACTCACCAGGCAGGGCTGAGGCCTCTCCCCTCCGTCCACGCGAAGCCCCTGCCTGCTCTGCTCAGCTCCTGCTCCGTTATCAGCCACTGGCCTTCCTCAGTGTGCATGGATGCCTAGGCCTTAATGCCACCTCACCCACTGAGGGGACAGGGGCATCAATGGGTCTCAGGGCTCAGCTTGAGGTCCAGGCAGATGAGTTGGAAGGGGACTTACTGGTCAGGTGGGTGGGCAGATGGGCAGGAGGCTGATGGATGAAGGAGCAGGCCTGAGGGGCCCAGTGCCTTCAGCCAGCAGGCGGGGAACAAGGGGTGTGAGCAGTCAGTGTCCTGTCCAGGTCTCTGTCACCAGGCTGGAACGCTGTGCAGGCAGTTGTCAGCTCAGAGGCAGCTAGCTGCTCAGAACCCTCCAGTACACCTCCCTGGGCTGGGGAGGGGAAGCCAACCCCATTTCTAGGGGTGTGGGGAGGGGACAGTGTGGGACAGCCCCAGGTGCTGGATGGCCTCAGGGTCAGCTGCTGGCCAAGGCTGTGGGGACAAGGGGCTCCCTCCCTGCTGCAGGCTGAGGACAAGGGAGCTCTCTGAGAACAGCTGGGAGGCAAGCCAAACACCCCAACCCACCCTCTGCCAGCCCACCCAGAGCCCAGGTGACCTCACTTCCCAATACTTCCTGCCTCTACCCACGTCAGGCAGGACCTCCATGACCCACCTGTCAGGGTTCCTTGAGTGGGTATGCTGGTGATCTGCAGACCAGGTGGGCCAGCAGGCTGGCACAGGCCCTTCCGCCCCTGGCCTACTGTAGCCTGGACCATTTCCACACCTGGCTCCCACCCAGCCACCCCATGCCCCATGGTCAGGCAACCTCACACTCTCTAGCTCTTGCCAACCCCACCCCCATCCCCCCC